GGGGGTTGGTGGGGAGGGGAGTAAAGATCTTGTGTGACATCACACATTTTAAAATTTCTTTATCATACAAATAAAACTGAAGTTTTTACTTTTATGAATTGAATAGTTGGTTGTGTTTTGGATTAAATTTTAAGTAGTTATTGTTTCTTTAACAAAAATTTTAGTTCAAAAGTGTAACATACTTTGGGAGGGGGGGGGGGTTCTGAGATTTATGACAGGGAGAGGTAGTGGGTAAAATTTATCCAAAAATAGCGTGACATACTTTATGGAGAGAGCCCCTTATCAGGATTTTATTATTGTGAAGTATAAATATTACTTATGCATCAAAATAAAATAAAACATTATTAGTCAAATGCATTTTCGCCCAAAGTAAATGTATCCAGTAATTTAAATTAAATTATTTATGTAAAAGAAATAAAATATTACCTTTCTGCATTAAAAAATATAAACATTGTTTCTGAAAAATATAGCAAAAAAAAAAAATACTAGGGTCTAGAGTTATAAGTAGCAACTAAATAATTTTTCTCATTCAGTTTTTTTGGGGATGAGTTAAGTGTATAAACATATTATCACAGTCTGATCTACAGAAATCTTTCCATGCACAAACAGATCAACAAAACATTGGCAGCACATCATCATATATAAATTAAAACAGCAGCAAATAAATAAGAAACCAAGGCATGTGTCTCATATGGCACATAAGATGACTGCTTAAATGCTGTCAATCAGTTGACATTAAGTTAGCTATGTGGAGCCTATTTGTGTAATGATATTCACACATTTTTACCCAAGGCATGATAAAGAAGATCATGAAAAATGAATAAAGAATTTATTTTAAAAGCTGAAAGAGTTGAAAATTATTTCAATATGTTAAAAACAAATCTAACCACTTTTGGAATTCTACTTATTTTCAATGTCTGCTTTGAAAAATCCAAAACCACAACTCAACACTGACAAAAGATATATAATATTTACCTTGAAACTTTAAAAAATTATTAATTAAAAGGGAATTTGTATGTAATTATATGATTAATTTCATTAAAAATAAAGGTTTTTCAAAAGGAATTGGGAACAAAAATCAAACTATCTTATAATTTTGTTTTTACTACCTGTGCTCATGGGCTTATCTTGAATGTCTGAAATTACATGTAATTCAGGGCTAGAAATTTATAATTTAAATGTTAATTAAAGAAAAAACATTAGTTAATAAAGGTAACCTAAATATTTTTTGTGTGGAAAAATGAAAGCTGTTTGTTGAGGAAGAAACGTACTTGACCTTGTATTTATAAATACTACAGTTATATATTTCTGTAAACTCAGTGAAGTGTCCAACTCCTAAAATATTACATGTCATGTGCAGTAAAGCTGATTCATGAACTCAAATCAGCAGACTTTAAAAAAAAAAAAAAAAAAAAAAAAAAAAAAAAAAAGAATTTTAATAAATAAAATATAAAAAAAAATAAAAAAAAAAAAAAAAAAAAAAAAAAACCAACGAGGTCATTTAATTCATCATCTTTCAAAAATGAGCAACTTACCACTAACAGTAAACAAAATAACAAAACCACACAACAGTTAAGAACACCGGATATTGTTTTTTTTTTTAAAAACATTACCTGATGATTTCATAGAGGGGAAAAAAAGAAGAGTCTCACGTTTATCAGTATCAGCTGCCATAGAGAACCTGTTGTAGATTACCAATGGTCTTACGCTAATGTCTTTTGATAACAGATTACTACAAACTCCTTCTATGGCACCATGGCACCACATCAGCTGTCTGCCATAGAGAACCTGTTGTAGATTACCAATGGTCTTACGCTAATGTCTTTTGATAACAGATTACTACAAACTCCTTCTATGGCACCATGGCACCACATCAGCTGCCTGCCATAGAGAACCTGTTGTAGATTACAAATGGTCTTACGCTAATGTCTTTTGATAACAGATTACTACAAACTCCTTCTATGGCACCATGGCACCCCATCAGCTGCCTGCCATAGAGAACCTGTTGTAGATTACAAATGGTCTTACGCTAATGTCTTTTGATAAAAGATTACTACAAGCTCCTTCTATGGCACCATGGCACCCCATCAGCTGCCTGCCATAGAGAACCTGTTGTAGATTACAAATGGTCTTACGCTAATGTCTTTTGATAAAAGATTACTACAAACTCCTTCTATGGCACCATGGCACCCCATCAGCTGCCTGCCATAGAGAACATGTTGTAGATTACAAATGGTCTTACGCTAATGTCTTTTGATAAAAGATTACTACAAACTCCTTCTATGGCACCATGGCACCCCATCAGCTGCCTGCCATAGAGAACCTGTTGTAGATTACAAATGGTCTTACGCTAATGTCTTTTGATAAAAGATTACTACAAGCTCCTTCTATGGCACCATGGCACCCCATCAGCTGTCTGCCATAGAGAACCTGTTGTAGATTACAAATGGTCTTACGCTAATGTCTTTTGATAAAAGATTACTACAAGCTCCTTCTATGGCACCATGGCACCCCATCAGCTGCTTGCCATAGAGAACCTGTTGTAGATTACAAATGGTCTTGCGCTAATGTCTTTTGATAAAAGATTACTAGACTACAAGCTCCTTCTATGGCACTCATCGGCTGCAGGAGTTTGTTTTCTTAGTTAAATTAAAGGAGTGAAGAAACGCAGTAGAACATCCAGTTAATTTCACGTGTTGTAGTAATTTCAAGTATCCTGTGATATCCAAATGAACCATGTCAGACTAATTGTTTGGAGTATAGCCAGACATTTATTTACTTTCAGACACAACAATGTCTTTTTGATGACACATATAATACCGGCATCTGTCAATCTGCCTATTATAATTTGATGTACCACATCAGACTTTTATTAAGCCTGCTCTTAGGTCTCGCAGACGTTTGAAAGAAAGAAAGAAATTCCCAGAAGAAGCTTAAGTAGCAGTTGCAGTAAAAAATCAGAAATTATAAGAATTATTAGAATGATCCCATAAAGATGGTTTTCCCACTCAAGACCTTCTTCATGACCCCGCTCCCCACAAGACAAGCCAACTGAAACCAGTCTGTTTCTCAGAAGTGATTGGTGTCGAAAGGTCCTACAACTCCGTATAAATGTCACTAGTCAATTCATTCGACCTGATTACCTCCCTTCTCACAAAGTTCAGTTAACTGCAGCATGGCAAATACCCTCTTCTGAGAAATAATGTATTAAGCCGCCTTTGTTGTTGCTGTTGTTCAATTGATAACAATTGTTACACACATTGCACGCATTTGATTTCCACTCTTTTATACATATAATCACATTAAATAATATAAAACTTAATATTTAAATAGTCATTGACTTCAACACTCCGTTTCTCGACATTCCTTAAATCTAAAAGGAACTATATTTTATTCAGTCAGTCTTTGCGCAAGTATTTCATTTTTTAAAAAATGAAATAGTCCGTAATTTAATATCCTAATGATAATTAACACAGTTGTCCAGAGCATCGGCATTGTGTTAATAGAAGAGACACGTTTTTTTTTTAACGTTACATCATCATTACAACATTCAGCAAGGGAGTCGTCCTTTACGACTGTTCTACCTCGATGCAGGACGTCATATGTGGGGCGTCAAGTCTGACGATGCGGCATGGGACTTGAATAAGATCACAATGTCTTTAAAATCCCTCCAGCTAATTTACGACGCCGCTGCTTCGTTCCTGGTCTAAAAAACTGTTTGAAACCAGACACAGCCGGAATAATTCAGCCAGAGTTAAAAAAAAAAAAAAAGAGGATCAGACGGCTGTNTTTAAAAATGGGTAAAATAATTGCAACTTCATGAGCTACGATCACAATATACATTTAAAAAAAAAATATTCAGCTGTTGATGGGGTTCGGCCTAAAGGAGAAGTACATCATTAGCATGAGCTTGACTTTATCTACAATCGACATCGCCATCAGTTTTTAAAGATGTGGCGAATGCGACGTTGGTGATCACTCACTGATCACGGGTCAGAGGTGTGTCTCGAGGGGTCAGAGGTGTGTCTCGAAGGGTCAGAGGTGTGTCTCGAGGGGTCAGAAGTGTGTCTCGAAGGGTCAGAGGTGTGTCTCGATGGGTCAGAGGTGTGTCT